AAATTAGCAGTAGTTAGAGTATTAGGCTTCTAGTCAACAGATGGCGGGTTTGAACCTCCGGTGCCGTGACACCTGGGGTTGGGTATGGCTGGCTGGTGATGGCTAATGAATCAGAAACGGTCACTACAGTCTCACTTGTCTTTTTCGATAACGTTCATCTGACTAAATAATTAACCTACGCGTGCTACACAGGTCTTAGTCTCGGCAACAGATACCAGACTTCCCTCTGGATTGTTCGAGCCTGAACTCAGTGAGAATGTCATAAATGCAAAATCGTGAAGGATGCATTGGAGTCGGACATATTCACTTGGCTGCTATCTAAGGCACGACTCCTAGCGCGTTCTAACCGACTCGAGGACGCTGAAGTATTAGTTGAATGGACTCTCCAATGTCAGTCTCAGTCTCTTTTCCATCTTCCATGCACCATTCGATCCTTCGATTATGTCGGTTAGCTGACGGTGGGATTGGGCACAGTGAGTAAATTGGCATGAAAGAATAAGTATAAGGCCTACCGTGGCACGCATGTTCAACAGTAGTTATGGACGTAGACGGACTCCATATTGTTCGATATACATGTGTATTAAGTCAGACCGACCCCCTCTCTCCGTAAGGTGCGGAGATAATGGTGGACAAAACTAAACATTCAGTCTACACATCGCACTGCTTATAGCCAAGAGTAAAAACAGCCTCATTGTCCACCTCAATTGCGGTTAGTCTGCTGGCCAAGAAACCTTGCTCTAAGCACCCAACACACGATAGATCTGTTTAACAGAACGAGAACTTTTCAAATAACTGCCTGTTCCAGGTTATCATATGCTCTACCACAGCGCCGAAATCGACGCAAGTTCTACAGATTGTCTTACACCAAATTACCGAAAGAGCACAAAGACGACACTATTTCTCCCTTCTTCACCTGTGATAGCATCAGTCTCGCTCTGATCTCTAAAACACACCGTTCGTCAAGTTAAGGCTACCCGAGTCATGAGAGGATTGGTACCACTCCCCGTGCCCTGGCAACCGGTAGTCACTGCTGCCTGACAGACTTCCTGTGGCCCTGGTCCTTGGCGCCATCAGTAAAAAGTGGTCGGTCATAAACTACGACTAAACGACTGCAATAAATGCCCCTCGAACTGTCATGGCCTCGGCGTGATAAGTCGTAGCCAGTGCGACGAGGAGGGGGTTAAAAAACTCGGGAGCGCGGAACGACAAGAGGTCAAGGGAAATCTGCTGTTCTGTCCCAGCACATGCTCCCCCTCACTCTCCACCTTCTACCTAGACCATCACTAATGTTTATAAATCGTCGACCTTAGTTGGGTCATGCATTTTCGGTGGGCCCTCGTAGTTTTGCTTGACTTTATGGGTGTTTTTCTTGCACTAAACAAACTACGACCTGTTTACTCTGTTAGAAGACGCTGCGGCAAGACAGAAAATCGGCTTGGTGACCAAACCCGTCATAACGACTAAGGGGGGGGGGAATCCCGTATGCACCGCTTCCGCTTAAAAGGGGGGAGGGGCGTTGGTTACGAGATCCGATATGGGGTTGTGAAGGCCTTTTCAAAACCTGGGATTTTGCAGTTATTCTAAAATAAAGTAATTATCCCGGAACCAAAACTGCCACTTAAGAGACAACCAGAATCCTTGGGTCCTCTGGGTAAAAGTTCGGTTGGTCGCCCACCCTATATACCCCTAGTCCCAGATTCTGGCTTGGGGGACCGGTGGTATTGGTTAAGTTAAGTTTTTATTTTATCATTTAGTTTGTTAGTTTAATTTTAGTTTTAATTTAGTTCGTTTGGTTTAGTTTAGTTACTTTAGCTTAGTTTAGTATATAGTAGTTACTTAAGTATACTCATCTAACGTTGGTGGCATCTAACCAAACTAAACTAAAACTGTAATTAAACTAATAAACTAAATAATGAACTAAAAACTAAAATAAACTAAAACTCATAAAACTAAAATTAATCACAGGACTAGGGGTGTCTAAGGTGGGTGACCAACCTAACTTTTACCGTTATCTGATCTTATTGTGAGATACGCCGCATTCCTGTCAGTTGTTCCATGCAGCCGCAGAAGGCATGCAAACATTCTTCAGAGATTTTAGCCAGCACACATGTTACGGGTATGTCTAGGTGATTCCCATTTAGCAAGATATAAGGTTCAACCTAATTTTGCCTTCTCCACACCTCATATTGGTTAGATGGACACAGGAATGTGTTCCGCTCGCATGCAGCTGATCCGTCCCTACTAAGCTTTCTAATAATTCCTGCAGCTTCTTAAACTGTCGACGCCATTGCAAGCCATTCATAGTAGCTTCGAGGCTAAGGAATGAAAAGTTGCTTGCATTTGCATTCCGATGACAGGGCCAAGCATTCTCAACTGCTGTTTGTTGTAGCGATTCAGAGAATGGACAGCTCCCAAGGGTCCTGCCTTTCCTTCCGGCAGGTGATTTTGGTTCCAAAGTGGTGCCGAGGCTCTCGCCCTGACAACAATTTGACCTCGCAGCAACCACTGTCGAGCCTCCCCCTCCCCTCCCCTGATATCTTATGCAGAGGCATCGTTCGGTCAGGTGACACGT